GTGGTCTAAAGCACCTACTTAGAGCAAGCTTAGCAAAGCACAGGGACCGCGGTTCAATCCCCCAGCACCACATGCCAGCTAGCCCCGCCCCCTGGTGGGCTGAGCTGGACACACACACACAAATAAATAAATTTTTTTTAAAAAAAAAAGATTGCATTTTTCAGTAAGTGGTTTTCTTTCTTTCTTTCCTTTTTTTTTTTTTTTTTCTTTCTTCAGTAAGTGGTTTCTTCCCAGGATCTGCAGTTTTGTGGACATAACCAGTCATGATTTTCTCTGCCTAAGCACAGCCTGCAGGTCTGTGAGGTGTCCTGCTTCAAAAGTCCCTCTGTCCATGTACCTGCCTGTGGCATCTGTCTGTGCAGAGGCGTATGTGTGCTCACTTGGTAGGTGGGAAAGCAGTCAGACAGTGGTCTCTACTGCATTAGGCAGCAGGCTGCTGGACCTAAGGCCAGCGCTTTCAGATCCAGGTACTTCTAAAAGCCACACTCCCTGGGTCTGGTTTCTCACCATGAAGACTGGGGTCCCTGTCTTTCTGGCCTGAGGTTAACCTTTTAGAAGGTTTGTATCCAACCTGCACCCACTCCATAGCTGTCTCCTGTGGCCATCTCTCACCCTGGCACTGTGGGAGGGATTACTGGACACCTGGAGTTGAACTGTTTTGTAGTTGTTCTGCACCTTAGATTTAAGCAGCTAGCCCCTCCCCAGCGTGCAGCAGATGCACCTGCGCCCTGAGCTGCTTTCTCTCTGACAACTGTTAGGGAGTCTCTCTCTTATTATTTTTTTTAATAATTTTATTGAGAAACAAATAGCCATGAGACAGTTTCACAAGCGATTACTAGCACATTTTCATTAATTAATACATTGCATATTGTTGTCTTAGTGGTTATTCATAGTACAAGATGCAGACATGATATCCTGTCTCAAACACTATTAGAACAAATCTCTCACTGAATTAAGAGAATACAGCTGTATATCTATCCTATTTTGAGTATACAGATACAAAAGGGTCATTCATTTGTATCCCACTTTTCTGGTTAGTTTTGTCAGAGAAGGGCATTCCATTGTCGTTTAAATATTGTAGGTGTGATCCAGACACTCGATCCCACTCCTGGTACCAAATTCTGTCTTAGTTACTCTTCTCTTGTTGCTGGGACAAATACCTGAAACTCAAAATGAAGGAAGGAAAGGTTTATTTAGCTCACACTTACTGGAGGTTTCAGTCCATATTCAGCTTGGTCCAAGGCAGAGAGCAGCCTTCCGTGGTGGCAGCAAAGAGCAAGAGCACAAAAGGAGGAGCAGCAGCAGCTCAAGCAGCCAGCCTCTCTCCCCTCCTTACATTGTAATGCAGATTACCTGCCCCAGGGTGGGTGCAGCATCCACACCCACAGTAATCAATCACAAACTCCAGAAGTCGCCCCAAGACTGTATAACAGGCTTTGGGGGGACATTTATATACAAACCAGAACATTCTGCCTCTGGACCCCCAAAAACTCATGCACATTCCTTTATGCAAAAGTCATTCTAGTCCATCTCTAAAAGTTGCCAAAGATAGTTTCAGCACTGCTGAAAAGTTCAAGTCCCAAGTCTCCTCCAATACCCAAGGCAGACTAGGGAGTCTTTTGGTGTGAAGTGCCCTGTTCTTCTGTAGTTTACAGTACCTGGGCTTTTCTCAGGATTAGTGCTCTGGCCAGGTCCATCATTGTTTCTCCCTGGAGCTTCTAGCTCTCCAGGGCTCTGTCTTCTGGGGTGCTGGCCTTGTCTGCAGTCAGGTCCGTTGGTTGTGCCCCTGCCACCTTACGCCAGGGGAAACAACAGAATGGGCTTGGCTGTGGCCAGGGCACTGCATTCACAGGCACAGCTGTGGCAGAGAGAGCATTGTGTATTTATTGCACAGGGCTGGGTTCCCTGATATTTGCCATTTTGGAGACCATGTTTCCAACGGCTTCTAGAATGTTCTGTCACCTCAGCATCTGCATGCTTAGTGCGAGCTCATGGTCCCTTCCTGTCCTCTGTGGTGGGGATGTGCACTCACAAGTGCTTCCTGGCTCTTCTTCTCGGCTGTCTCCTGAACACGTGCACAGCTTGACCCGTGCCTTCTGGGATGAGAGTCTCCCCTAGCATCACGTGGGCCCGTGTATTGCTTGAGTTGGTGTCCACATCGCTGACCACACTCTCTTTTCTCATTCACATGTTTCAGACCCAATTTAGCAGCTCGCTGCCTGTGACCCAGTGTCCTGAACAGCTGCAGAAACCTGAGCACTTTGAGGTCACTGGAGAAGCCTCAGCTGACCCTGCACAAGCTACCTGTTAGCTGGTGCCAGTACTTGGCAGTCCCGGCCATCCCTGCTCTGAGCTGCACAGGCCTCTGCTCCCTGGCCTCCCAGTGCCCCTTTCTCCTAAAGTCCACCAGTGATAAATGAATGACTTAAAATATTTTAAACATGAGTAATATTTGTATATTTTGAGAATAGCTTGCATTTCATTTGAAACACTCATCCTTGTATTATACTTACTTGTTTGTTATTACCTCAAGATCTTTTTATTGTTGTTTTGAGATTTGATTCTCTCAATGCAGCCCAGGCTGGCCAGCTGCCTCCTTAGCTTGTGCCCATTGATAGTTTTAGGGTAGTATCCTGCTTTTAAATATAGGATAGAAAAAGTCCTGAGCTAGACATTCTGAGATTCTGCTGGGTATGGTTACTTTGCATTTTGCTTCTCTGAGCTTAGTTACTTGGAGGAGGTCAAGTGTGGTAATGGATTAAATGCAGGGTGAACCGAGTTCTGTGTTAAAGCGTAACACTTGCTACATAGATCATCACCATGTGTCCTGCATGATACATTTTCTATGGTATTCCCAAAGCAGTTCAAAATGTGGAGTTTGAGTTACACCTGCCCCCAGCAGAGAACCCTGTCAAAGGGGTGGGTGCATTGTTTTAGCAAGAGGTGGAAGTCGGAGCTGTGGACATTCAAAGAGCATGGCAGCTCCCAGAGAAGACCCTGATCCCCAGCAGGAAGGGCAGCCAAGCACACACCCATTGGGTTGGGCTCAGCCACGAGGAGGAAGTGCCTTGGGGACAGTCAAGGCCCAAGACCTGGGCTCAGCCAGAGCAGTTGGTTAGGAACACCTTTTCATTTTGGTTTCTCAGCACTGAGAGTGAATGCGGAATTGCACTGGGCCAGTGGTCTAGGTCCTGCTTCTCTGGAGAAGGTGCTTGTGGGCCGCAGCGTAGGGAGGCCAGCTGTGACTGGTCATGGCGAGTGCGGAGCGAGTGTGTGCTGTGTTGCTCCCCTGACCTCCCACACGGACGCCTCCTCTCAGGACCCCAGTGGGTGGCACAGAACCTGGCCCTCGGTGCCCTTCAGTGGGGATCCGCCCTTCAACCTGGTTCGGCTGTTTCCTCCCCTGGGCACCTGGACCACAACAGTGTCCTGCTGTGCGTCTTCAGCTATGCCATCTGGAACAGGGAGGCTGTGGTGAGAGGAAGAGGATTCAATGGGGACAAAGCATGCAGTGTGGTCAGTGCTGCTGCCCAGGTGCCCCCAGCTGGAGTATGCTTTTAGATCGTTGTGTGTCATCAGCGGCTACTTCTTACCTGTCACAGGCTGGTTTTTGCAGCCCTATACTGCTGTTCTTTCTCTTTCATTTGCTTGAGTGCTGTTTCCGCCTGCTTACTGACTGGGGTTGTGGTAGTAGATGTACTGGGCACTGTGGTGTGGCTCTGTGGACCGTGGACTAGGAAAGAGGTGGGACTCCAGTGGCAAAGAAGGAAGTGTTAATGACTTTGACAAGCAGGTGTCTTGCAGCTTACTAATCTGCTCAGAACTTTGTTACACATTGTGAATAAATTAAACGCTCTGTCCTGGGATTTGGGTCAGCTGTGTGATGGTGGGAACTGTTGTCTTTCCTGCCCCAGCCCGCATCCCCAGCACGACACAGACAGACAGACTGACACACACACGGATATACATGGATCAGAAGTCAGAAAACGAACAGTGCTTTCTTAAAACACCGTGAGTGGTCATGGGCGAGCCCTTATGTGCTCTCAGAGTCGGGGGTCCTTGTGTCTGCTGTGTCGCCTGGGTCCAGTCCTGAGCTTCCTGGGGGGCTGGCTCTGACAGCCCCTGCCAGGAGTGGGAGGTTGGCCTGAGGTGCAGTTGTCAGGGCAAGCTGTCCAGGCTCCCAGGGCACCCACATGCTGTGCGTGCAGGTACTCAACTCAGCCATGAGAAACAACCACGGATTTAAGTAGGAAAGGGTGTGATGCTCTCAAAACCTACGGACTCCAGCTTATGACGCTGAGCGTATTTCTGTTTGTGAAACTGAAGAACAGTGTAGAGGTTGAGCCTGATGTGTTTGTTCCCAGATTCTAACCATGCTGGATTTCTTTCCAGGTCTCCCAGTGTTAAAGTATGTGCTGACACCAAGAATAAAGGCAACTTATGTTGCATTTGATTCTATGAAGAATTATATAGAGGCCATTTATGATGTTACAGTGGTCTATGAAGGGAAGGACAAAGAAGGCCGGCAAGTAGAAACCACGACCATGACTGGTAAGTTTGTGTTTGCATGTGCCAAAGTGAATTATTTATAACACATGTAAGTCGGAGATCTAACGAACATTATCATCAGGGTCTTGGTCTGGCCTCAGTCTCCTAAAGGACTGCGTAGCAGACCGCTTACATAAGAGAGAGCAGTGGTGTGATTTTGGGGTGTGCAGGAAGGTCAGAACTCTCTCCCACTCTCTCAGAAGTAAGGACAGGGAGCTCTGCCAGACAGCCTATACTTACTTGGTTTTCAAACAGAGGAAGGGGATACTGAGGTAAGGCAGGAGCTGAGCAGGACCATGGAGTCAGTACAAAGACTTCTCCAAGCAGTCAGTTTACCAGTTGGGAGAACTGCTTGCTTGCTAAGGTTGGCGGCTCCAGTGCTCTGCAGTACGGGATGTCAGCAGCCGCCTCAGCCATGGCGTCTTGACTTCGGAGCACTGTGAATGTTAGCTTTTCCAACACAGCCAGAGGTCTCTGATGGGCAGCTTAACTTGCAAAGCCCCGTCTCCAGCAGAATGTCATTTTAAAAATAGGGCAGTGGGCGTCCCTTCATTTCCTTGACCTGCTTTGTGAGGTGTTCCTCAGCTGTCACAGTGGACGTGTCACTGTGCCTGCTCAGTGCGCTGTGCCTCTGCTGCGTGTGGTGCCCTGGAAGCCTGTGTGCCAGCCTCCTTCCCAGCACAGGCACAGACATGGGGGGTGCCACAGATCAAAGGGGCCGGCCTAAGAGGCTCGCCACAGCGCTGAGCTGCATGCTGAGGGCTGGGCTGGGCTGGTGTGTAAATGAGCTTGCATGGGGTGTTTGTGAAATGTGTGCCATCTGTCAACAAGAGGGTGACTTCCTTTTTCACATAGCTACTAGGTTTTTAGCATTGAAAGGTATTGTCTGTGTCATACGTCAAGGAAAGGAATCTTGAATGAGCAGAGTCACTTAGGAAAGTCGGAGCAAAAATAGTCCTGGCTTCAGCGGGGCAGGGCCCAGGGCAGGCAGGCAGGGTAGGCTGGGTACTGCCATCTCCCTCCTGACCCCTGTGCCCCCCGCACTGTATGGGGCACTGCCTCCATTCAGTAGTGGGGAGCGCTGCCTCCACTCAGTAGTAGGGAGTGCTCCAGAGGCCGTCCCCTCCCTCGGAAGGCAGTGTGCTGAGCTCCCAGGGGCAGACCTCACCAGGGCACCCAGCTGTACCACATCCCCTGGGCATCATCCAGGCACTGTTAAATCACCTGCTGCCACCCTGTGTGCGCTCCTTGGGACCAGGGTTCTCCAAGTGCAGTGAGCGGGCTCCCTTGTCCTACATCCTTGTGTTTCCTAGTAACAGGATGTGCTTCACTGCAGCTCGGAGAGAAGTGCCTTGCACTGAAAGACGTAGGCAGGAGCTGCCCAGAGTGCAGAGTTGGCCCTCATTTTCATGGTACAAATAACATTACTTGGGGCTGGTGAGATGGCTCAGTGGTCTAAAGCACCTACTTAGAACAAGCTGAGCAAAGCACAGGGACCACAGTTCAATCCCCCAGCCCCACATGCCAGCCAGCCGTGCCCCCTGGTGGGCTGAGCTGGCCACACACACACACACACACACGCACACACACACGCGCACGCGCATAAAAATAAAAAAATTATAATGACATTACTTAACCATGGTTTCTAAAATAGTAAAAAGTAAAATTTTGTCTCTTTGTTAGAATTCCTCTGCAGACACTGTCCAAAAATTCATATTCACATTGATCGTATCGACAGAAAAGACATCCCAGAGGAGCAGGAGTCCATGAAGAGGTGGCTTCACCAGCGCTTTGAGAAAAAAGACAAGTGAGTAGCATGGACCACTGTGCACACCCGGCTCGCTGAGCATGCCACTCAGGCAGATGGCACACCTTGGCACCCAGCGCCCGTGGTTCGGGCCAGACCCTGCTCCACACCTGCCTGTCTGTGGTCACCCTGTCACAGTCACCTAGAAACCTTACTGTGAAGGTCCCCCAGTGTGTAAGGTAGAACAGCAAGCAGATCCAGCCCCTCCGCCTCCACATGAAGCCCAAACAGGCTTTGGGTTGGCAGGGTGGGGTGGGTTGATCCCGCGGGGCCTTCCCCGCCTGCCCGTGGTCCTTGAGCCCTTTCCATGCTGCTCACACTTCTGTCTGTGCACGTGGAGCTGTGGAACGAATGTCAGCGTGGCTGGGCAGGCGCCCTGGAGTGGGTGCAGGTGGCCTGGCGTGGACCTCCGTGGGGACAGGGACACCCTGAGCCCGGGGCCGCTTCTCTTTTGGAGAAAAGTATTTTCTTGGCTGAAAACTTCAGGGCATTGATTTACTTACACTTCTTTAGCTGCCAGTGAGAGCCTGACACTTTCTGAAACTTACCATATTTGGGGGGAGAAGTGATTTAAAGACTTACATTGTTGGAAAGAAATGGGCCTGTTGCATTTTACATAGGAATGCAATTTTTACCAAAACCATATTGAAAAGTATACTATTGTATTGTAAAAAGTGCTTCCAAAATTATATTTAAGAAGTTGTGCCCAAGGGTTCTCCTTGTTGTGTCTTCTCCAGAGACTCCTATTCCTTTCCATCTCTTACAATAAAATATTTCAAAATTAATCCTCCTGGTCCACCTTCAGTGAGAATTCCTTAAAATGAAACCTGTTGAAAATGAGTATGTTTAGTTTCTCTGTATCTCTAACTTGGATTTATATGTGACATAAATTTACTAAGCCAGCCATTCAGGGCCTTTTTGGCTGTGGAAAAAAATAATTTAAGCATGAAGATCTGTGTATTGACATGAAAATTATTTTCAGAAAAAAACACTTGAGAAGTGTGTTTCTGTCCCATGCGTGGAGCTGTGAGGCAGTACAGGCGCTTTCCTTTCTTGTGCTTCGCCTTTGCAATTGCCAACCTGCTCTGGGGCTGTAATCCTACAGTTTTTATGAGAGGAGAATGAGCCGCCCTCTCTGGCCTCGGGCACTGGGGCAAGGCTTAGGTGTGGCCTGCCGTCCCAGAGCTGCTGCTGTGGCCCTGACCTTGGTGGCCTGGAGCAGGATCCATGCAATTGTGAAGCATTAAGGGTACCCTGGAGGCTGATGTCCCTTAGGCAGAGTGTCCTCTGGTTATTTCCTTTGTTGTCCTTGTTTTGCAGGAGCCCTGCCTTTCCCCACGCCTAAGTACCTGGCTGGTCATTTGTGGAACTTACATACTGAAATGACTAACACAGAAACTTAAATTTGAATGTTTTTCGTTCTGGGTACAGGTTGCTTATGGAATTCTATGAGTCACCAGATCCAGAAAGAAGGAACCAGTTTCCTGGGAAAAGTGTTAATTCAAAACTAAGTCTCAAGAAGACTTTGCCATCAGTGTTGTTCCTGAGCGGCTTGACTGCCGGCCTGCTGATGACGGAGGTCGGGAGGAAACTGTATGCAAACGCATGCATCTGCGGAACCGTCTTTGGCTGCCTGTGGGTCTCCTTCAGAGCGTGAGCAGTGGGCGTCCCTCATAGATGGCCACACACGTGACATCCACTTGCTTCCTGAACTTAGCAAGGAGTGTAAATAAAGCCCCGTTGACCGAACAATGGTAAAATGGAATTTATATAAAAGCCAGTATGCATTTGATTTTGGGCGAACATTGTTTTCAGCGTTAGAGCAGGAATTACCGAAAAGGTCAAAGCTAAGTGGACTTCATGCTGTTCTTCCCATGTCCCTTGAGCTGATGTCCCCCTCAGACGACTGTTAGGTTGTGATTTGCTATCGCACTATAATTCAGATGGCATATGTTCACATCACCAGGTAGCGGATTTCATTATGTTTGTTATTGTCAATGTCTGACACCCTGACAGCCCCGATCTCTCGCCGCTGCGGCGTTTGCCTCACTGCGTAATCCTTGGCTTTCTGCTCAGTGTCTGCAAGTCAGGGAGGAAAGTGCCTCCGAGTATCCAGACCCTCGAGGACACAGCAGGAAGTGCTCCGGGTGGAGCTCTGTTCAGAGTGTGTCTATTGTACTGCATTACTAGCTCGTTTTACTTCATATTTGTGAAATAATTAACATTTAATATGTATTGAGATCACTTAATTTGCATACCCTTTAACCTACACAAAAGAATATGGTAGAAAATGGCAAAATGAAGTTTAAGTTAAAATTGTCACTGATTCATTGTCTGAGAACTGTGACTTGCCTAGCTTTGAAGGGTTACCCTGTGCTATTAGTAATTCCCAACATTGTGCCATAAGTGCTTAAAATACTAAGGTTTCCTGTGATCGTTTATATCAAAACAGTCACGGTGAACCTTTCCGGTAGATTCTGAGCCTCCGAGGTGGCAGGGCCTGCAGGCATCCTACCCAGGACCAGCGTGTGCCTTGTGACTGCTTCACTTCTTCGATTGAAGCCACGCATCAGACGTGGAGCTTGTCTGTGTGCCGGCCCCGTAGCTCCCGCCGCGCTCTGCCCCCCTCTGGGCTTCCTTAGCGGTGCTGCCTGGTGTCGCCCTGGTTCGGAGTCCCTCACCCTGGCTCTGGGGCGTGAGCTTGTGAGCTGCTGTGGCAGCAGCTGGCACTCATCCCTCTGAGGAGTCGCCTTCTGCCACTATCGGCCCATTTCCCATCTGTGCGAGAAGAGCTGCCGGGTGACCGGCGTCACAGAAGCAGTGTGTCCCCCGAAAGGAGGCGGTCTGAAAGCTTGCTCTGCTCTGCTCTGGTTTATCTTATAGTATGAACATGCTTATCTGCAGTCCTTTATAATAACTTTTCAGCTAACTGCTACTTAGGGGCTTTTTAAATTTCTTTTCAAAATTATGTCTGACTCAGATGAAGTGCACGAATTGACTCATAAAGAAAATGAAAGAATTGAAGGAAATCGTGTCCAACTGTTATATTGCTTTCCTAAACAGAAAACAAGCCATCTCTTGCAGTCCCCTTGGAGGGTCAGGTGGTGAGTCTGTGTACCCAGGATTCATAACCACCTGCTCCCACAGAATACAGTTAGCCTGACCACAGGGGGGAATAGGTCAAACTTGGTTAAAGTGCTCTCATGACGAACTGTAATTTTCTCTTTCCTGAAAAATGAAATTTAGATCAATCCCAGGTCTCTGTTAAATACATTTTTTAACAGTGCTAATTTTAGAGCTTATTTCTGACAAAATCAAAATAAATGTAAGCTGTGATATTTGAATATCATGGGTATGGTCCAGTTTTAGATTTTGAGGAGCTGTATCATTAGAATTATATGGCTTATAACTGGACTTAGCAAGGTCAAGTGACCTGCATGAAGTTACCTGAGCACTGTTTCTTACGTCTCTGCTCCTACACATCTCATAAAAGGTTTATAAAATCAGTGTGAGAAAAATTTACGTCAAAATGAAATTTGTCTTTCATGCATTGATTTTGTCTTAATTTATCCATCTTCTAAAATTAAAATCTCTGCCTACCTATGAATCTTTACATACAATATCATTTAAGCTTTGTTTGTGTTGTTCTTCTTGGTTTATGATTTGCTTCTTATTTAACTGCTCTTTATAAGGCTGCCATTGGGGTGCGTGTTTGTGGTTTTCAGCAAAGGGTGGATTTGGAGGAAAGCAATAAAGTAAAATAGAATTTGCTGTCTGTGATGTCTGTCGCTGAACACTTTGTGACCCAAATATTGACCAACGGTTTTCTGTTGCATAACAGAATGTCTGGTTCTGAATTGTGAACTTATAATTCTGTATATTTTTTAAATTACTAGATGAATTTTTTAAAAAATGCAACAAATAATGAAGCAGTATAACACTTTGGATATATAAATGATCTATGTAGTTCAAACACTGTGTGGCCAGTATTCATTGCTTGGCAACTCTGTAACCGTTAGGTGATCTCAGGAAATGCGTCAGACGCCTCGCGCGGGCCAGCTGGGCGAGCAGCTCCCACATGCGTGCACTCGGCTTGCTCAGGTTCTGTTTTCATGTGATTTCTGCACAAGCGGTGGCACAGATTTTCCTGTGTGTGGATTACGCTTCGTGCTCTAATAGCGTGGCTCTTGCTGACGTTTGCTGCATAGGTCTGTGCGACATGTCTGGACCAGACCAAATGGAATTACCATTTAACTTCCTAAAGTGTAGGTGCTAGATGTAGATCAGACCCTACAAGAGAAGAGCAAAACGTCTGTTAGAGTAGTATTTTATGTATATAATTGCAAACAATAACGAGACGAATTGTAACCTTAACTAATACTTGGTTTTATTTAGACTGAAATTTGAGTAAAAGATTTTTTTGAGCAGATTCTCCACAAGCCAACTTGTACAAAACTATGTCATGTTTTATAAGCAGACTTCTCTGTCCCTCTTAGGCTAGTGTTTATTGATGACACACTTTTTAGACTAAAGATTGTCACAAATACAAAATTTCTCAGTATGACTGAGTGTAGGATCTAGATAGTGGCCCAGCATGATGTGGGGTCAGTGCTTGGGTCAAACACGTATTTGGAAAGTTGAGATTTGATGTATAGGTAAAAATCCATGTCACTGCATTTTAAACTATTCAAATATACGTTTTTATGTCAATAATTCACTTTAGAAAGTCCTGGCTGAGATAGTGACCCTGACATCATTTGGCCTCTTGTAGGCGGTCCTGCTGCCTGCAGCAGCGGTGGCGGTTGGGCAGTCTCACGTGGAGCAGCCGAGCCAGCGCAGCGACGCGTGGTGAGGCAGGCATCCTGAGAGGAGGGAGTTGGGACCTGATGTGTCGCCGTCCCAAGCGTGCCTGTGGCCCGCCCGGCACCTCCATCGCTGTGGGGTGTCCCCTGCAGTCTGTCCTCCAGCGGGGCTCGTGCGAGGGCCTGGCCCCATCTCAGAGCTGCTGTGCCCTCTGGTTGCCTCCCCTTGCCCTCCACCACCTCGGCTCCTGGGCGCGCTGAGGTGAGCGGCTCTCCCCACCCAAGCCTGCCTGCTGCTCACCTCCGACCCAGACCCTGGCCGGAAGCCTGTACAGACTGTGACTCTCCTATCAGTTGTTGGGTGCTTTTGTCCCAGAGAGAAGGCTGGAAGCCCCTGAGGTGGGAGGGGCTGTGACCCAAACACTTCTGAACACAGCTGTGTCAGTGGCCGAGCCCTCTAAACACGACTTGGGGCCGTCAGCCCTAACTGTGACAGGAACCAAGCTGGAGCCTAGAGCTCCCTAGGCTGTATGTAATTTAGTAACTGCTGGTTGTCATCCCATGGCAAAAGTTACTTTGAAGAAGCCCATTCCAGACTAAACCTCAGGCACCTCTGTGCTGAAGGCGACCTGACTGCAGTGGGCGTCTCCTGATGGTCCATGGGAGCAGCCAGGCCACCTTTGCCATCCCACGTGGATGTGGGCAAGGCATGTCCTGCAGTGTCAGAAGTCTTCCTGTCTGAAGCGTGATGAGCGTGCTGCCCGACAGGAAACCCTTGGCCAAATTATCATGTTGTCTCATATTTTTCAGAATAAATTCTAACTTCATCTATTTCTGGCTCTACCAGTGTTTCATTCAGCAAAAAGAAAATCTGAAATCCCAAAATAAGTTATGTGGTGCTAAGAGAGTTACTTGACCATCGGTTTTGTGTACGAGATACATGTGCGTGTTTAATCGCCAAGTTCCGCACGGCCATGAACGTGTTGTGCTATTCCTGGGGTGTGCCTAGCTCAGCCCTCCTGGCTGCACACAGCCTCCTGGGTGCCAGGCAGCGCATAGCACCTGCCGCCCTGACCCACCCAGGCCACAGCAGGGTGGCTGCTGCTCCAAGGGCTCAGATCCTGTCCACTGGGAGTTATATCAGGATCTATTTCCAGGACTGTAGATGCGCATCGGCCTAGCCCACCTCGGGTCAAATGTGCTGGGCATTGGAAGGAAGGGAACGTTCTCATTTTACACCTCTGGCTGGGGTTGGCCTTTGTTAAGAGCTTTGAAAGCAGAGGGAACAGCTATGGTGATGATTATAGGTTGGTGCAACTTAAGAGCAACTCAGAGCACCACACCTACGGTCACCCCAGAGCCACCCAGGACCTCGGTGCAGGGCACAGCCCTGTCCTCTGCTTGGTTGGGAGTGCAAGTGGGCATCATGGCAGACTTACTAGAGAGTGGCACTGGGCGAAGTACCACCTGCATTCAGCCCTGCTAGGGGAGCCCATTGGGTAACCCCTAAGGTTAAGATGATGCCCATCACCCATTCCACATCACCTTCCTTTGAAAACTAGGGGACATTTTCCTCACCCAGGTTAGTGTGCTGACCCCTGCTGGAGTCTGAAATCCCAAGCCCCAGACTCTCCGTCCAGCTGTGGGACCTGCCCAGGATGGCCAGGGCCTGCTGATATGGAGCTGTGTTGGTGGCAGCAGGCTGTGCGGTGCTCCCTTCGGAGGGCTGGCACTGGGGCCCCCACACTGTGGGTGAGGGCCTGCCCGGCACACAGCTTGTGGGAGGAGCTACTCTGCATTTCTGCACGTGTGTGTGCTTCTGTGAGCAGTAGAGGCTGGCAGAAGGGGGCTTGAGGCAGGGTATGCAGGGGCAGCACAGCAGGCAGGCCTTGGGGGACTTGAGGACGTGCAAAGGGGGTAGCTTGGACTGGGGACCCCAGGCCAGGAAACTGTCCTTCCCTCCAAGACAAAAACTGCAGTGGCTGAAACTCATTGGGATTAGGGAGGCCGAGGCTGAGCCAAGTGCCAGTCTGTCTCAGATGCCCGTCCTGGCTGCCCGCCAGTCTGCTCCAGGTTGAGCTTCCTCATGGGGACCAGAGGTGCCGTGCAGGCCTGTGTCCCCTAGGACACATGGAGGTTCTGGGGGTGATCACTAACGTATCCAGCATGGCATGGGTGCCCAGCCCCCGCCAGCAGGCCCTGAATACCCTCACAGGAGCACCCTCTGCTTCCCGCTGGCCCAGGGGCTCTGACCCTTCGGCTTACAAGGCTGCTCCCGGGGACAAGTGCTGGGAGGAGCGCGCTCTCACTGTCCCACTCACCCAAGTGCGGGCTGGGCCGCAGTGCCCGTGAGCCCTGGGGGGAAATGCTGGCTCTGCGGGTCCCCAGGGTCCTCCCTGTCAGGGTTGGCCTGCCCTGTCCCGGCGCTTTCCCTGGCCCGCTCTCAGAATGAAGGAGCTGGAGAAGGTCTGAGAGCCAACTGCACGCAGTCCCCAGCCTGTCCTCAAAAGGAGCCTGGCTCAGCAGGCCCACCAGCTCTGCTGCTGTCACTTCAGCCTCTCTGCTGTTGTCCCTGGGGCCTTGAAAGGACTTTAGGTGGGGGGCACAAGCTCCTCGCCCGCTGCTCACCCTCTCCCTGAACAGTGGCAGCGCCTGCTGGTCTGGGTCCCAAGACCTCGTCGGCGGATTCCACCGAGCGGCTGTTGGAGCAACACCAGCCCCAGCTGAGCGCTTTTGAATGAACGATTTTTTGGAGACTTTGGTTCATCGTTTTACTCATTGGGCAATTAAGAGAGATGGATGTCTTGGACAGCATCTTGTTCTCGCAAGCTGCTTTTCTCTTTGGCAAACTCCTGCGCATCTCTCAAAGCCCACTCAAGGCTCATCTCCACAGGCTTCCTTATCTCTCACAGCTGGGTGAGCAGCCTCTTCCTTAAAACTGCACCAGCCTCCGGGCGGGGCAGAGCGGGCTCTGGAAGGGCAGCCCTGGTGCGGCCGAGTGGACGCGCCGAGTTCCACCGGCACAGCTGTGGCCTCAGGACTCGGGAAAGTCACCCCAGTGGACCACACTGATGGAGGCCAGGGAAACTGCGAGGTCACTGCCTCCTCCCTGAATAGGTCAGGGGCCTGCTGTCCGCTCCCAGAGGCCACGAGACCCAGCAGCCCGTCTTGTGGGGCCTCCTGCCCGGCCTCCTGCCCACATTCACGGGGCTCCGGCACAGCACTCTCCGAGGCTTGGGTCACCCTGGGCGCAGCCCTGCTGTGGACCTTGGGTTAAGCGGAGCTCAGAGGCCCCTAATGTTGAAATCCTGTGCCGCCTGCCGTGCAGAGTCAGCTGCCCACCGGATGCGGCATCTGCGACCGGCCTGGTAGCCACTATGAGCCTAGACGCGCGGTGACCTTGGAGCAGCATTGCTGGGTCCCCGCAGCTAGCCTGGGGACCGCGGCCGCCCTCAGGGCTCCGCACACCCCAGCCCAACTCTTGCCCTGCGCCTTCCTTCCGCGGTGCTCCCCTAGCACGCGGGACACGGCCCTATCCAGCCCGGGAATTTGGGGCCACCTTGTGGCTGGTGTCGGAGAGATGCTGCTGCTAAAATTGGGTTTTTAGTTTATTCCGAGGTCCTGGGGACTGAATATAGACAAGGTGTTCACCTCTCTGAGCTACATTCCCAGCCCCCTTTTTTGAAACAGTGTCTTGCTAAGTCACTAAATTGCCTACTCTGGGCTCAAGCTATCGATCTTCCTGCCTCAGCCTCCCAGAAGGCCCTGGCATTAGGTGTTGATCTAAGATGTTAGGCAGTGAGTTTAAACACAGGAAAGGAAGAAATGAAAGCAGCAGTGGCCACGGCCTGTGAGCCCTTGGCACCCTGTCAACCCGAATGGGTGGATCACGTGGCTACCTCAGCCAGGCCAAGGAGGCAGGCTTGGCCTTCAGCTCATCCGCGGTGCTCTGGGGGTCTCCCAGCCGGG